TATAAGGGCATAATAGTGGATAATGTAAATTTTTATGTTGTAGACCCTGTGATTACCAATATTATCACATCCAAAATAAATAATTATTACACTTTACATTATTTATTACAATATTTAGATCAAAAAATTGTGTGCAACTACCAAGAACAAAAAGAGAGAGAATCAGGGACAGTAAATTCTAGTGCTGCCTCAGCTTGTCCTTAACCCCGCAAAATTTGCCCCTAATCCAGACCTTTCCTTGTCCTGTCCTTACAAATAAATATTCATTGTAGAGTTTTAAAAACAATAAAACAATAAAACCCACTCCGAACAGTTTCTCCGTCACCGGCTCCAAAATCCTACCAACAGCTCACAATCATTCCAGCTGGTGGCAAAAATGGGTTCTTGAAATTTCACCAAAAATTCAATCTTTAATGTTGTCTATTTTTATTTTATTTTTCTCTCTGACCTACTCTTTTTAGATTTTGGTGTTCTTTTCTTCTCTGTGCTCAGAAAGGTGCATAAAATCTTGTTGGTGCTGCAATACTACCCAAGAAGGGGTTACTGCTGAGTGTAAAAAAGAGTACCCCAGAAACAAAATCGAAGAAAAAAAGTTTTTTTTTTGGGCAATTTACTGAGGGAAAAATGAGGGACTTTCCATCTTGCTTTGGGGAGAATGGAGTTCAAGTTGCTGATTCATCTTGTTCGCGTGTAAACGTAAGTAAGGCCTCTCAGAACACTGTGACCTGCATTTATAGATGTAAGCTGTTTGATAAATCTTGCTTGGTTACCGTTTTGTGGAGCAAGGGTTTGATGGGCCAATGCCTTAGTGTGGAAATAGACGATGCATCTCATCAGTTCATTTGCAAATTCGATGTGAAGCCCTCTTTATTCTCCAAAAGAAAAGGTTCCAAGTATTTACAGCTGAATTCTGCTAAAATCGAAGTTTTTTGGGATCTTTCGGTCGCGAAATTCGGATCCGGGCCAGAGCCCTTAAGTTCCTATTACTTAGGGATTGTGTGTAAGGGTGAAATAGTTTTGCTAATTGGTGATCTAACTGATGATGCATTTAAGAAAACGGGCTCTACCTCTCGGCAGTCGGGCTCGATTCTTGTTTCCAAAAGGGAACATGTCTGTGGAAAGTCGGTTTTCGGCACAAAGGTTCAATTTTGGGAGAAGGGAAAAATTCACGACCTGAAAATTGAATGCGACACGTATCATGGGGATGACCCTTTTCTTGTGGTTCGTATTGACTCGAAAACTGTAATGCAAGTTAAGCATTTGAAGTGGAAATTTCGTGGGAATTTCACGATTATTGTTGATGGGTTGCCGGTGGAGGTGTTTTGGGACGTGCACAATTGGCTGTTTAATACGAGTTCAGGGAATGCGGTTTTCATGTTCCAGACGAGTTTAATGGCGGATAAAATGTTCGTTTGCACGGAAGAGTTTAAAGAGGCTAAGTTTCCAGGTCATGGATTTTCTTTGTTTTTGTACGCTTGGAAGAATGAATAGCGATATATAGTGGTTCTTGGTTTGATTTTGATTTACTGATGATGATAATATTTTTGTTTCGACATTCTTTGGATATTTAATCGATTTTTATTTATCGAGATGCTTCTTTTTGTTTTGTTATATAGAGTCATTTGAGGTTTTATGATCTGCTAGGTCTCGTTAAGACTGTTTCTGGATTAGGAATTTTACCTTGATTCCTCAGTCTACCTGGAAAAAATCATATATAAACTCAGGTTAATTGCAACATAAACTTTTTTGCTTCCAGTTTACTAATTGCATTGTCAAATGGGGGGTTATTTGTCAAGAAAATGCAAACCTCAATGGAGTGTGGGATTGTAATTTGTAATATTGCAAAACTCAGGGGGTTATTTTTGTAGTTAATACCAGAAATTACTTGTTGATGGTGACACTCTCTTCTTATTAACCTTAGACAGCAAGACTAACAGCAAGTCATGTTCACATTATTAACAAATCATTGCATTATATAATGGCTCTCAAATGCATTATCTCCATCTCATATAATTGATTGTAACTTCAACATCACGAGCCATGACTTTAGCCTTTTTGCATCACATTGTTAGTTGAACTAAACAGCTATTGTAAAACTTCTTATGTAAGACTCTTAGTATTTGAAGCCTGGAGATTAGGTTAATTTGGTGAGCAGGAAAATAATTAGTTAATGGAATCTTGCATTTAGGATCAACTCATATTCATGTATAATTTACTGCCACACTAATTCCATCCATTTTCTAGTGCCTTCATTGTGTGTATCAAGAAAATATGGACAAATGCAAGTAATTGTTAGTTGACTGCTAAGACTATTAAAGCACAAAAGTTACCATTTGAAAATGGCATGGCTTCTTCATCAAATACATTAGTAGTAAGTTTTGAGTTAGTTATCATGCTTAGTTTATTACGTTCGATCAACTGAGTTTGAAAGAAATTTGGGCAGCAGATGTTTATAATTGTGTGTTGAATCCTTTGATTGACTTTTTGGCCATATGTACCTTTTGGTGGTCCTTTGTTTTGGAGTAATGTTAATCTTGATCAGTTCTTGACTTATGTTACAAGTTTTTTTTGTACCAAATGATAATAATAAATTAATAGTAATAATCACATATTTGGTTAGGTTGTTAAACGACCTTGTCATGGGGAAGCCATATTCATACTCTGTGCTCACTGCTCACCAATATCTGTAACTGTAAATCATGTTGATGGTGATGGCTGGAGCTTGGAGGCCCATGAATATTAAGGATAAATTGTGGAAAACCCCTGCGGTTTGGGTAATTTACGAAAATAACTCAGGGAAGATTCAGGGTTAAATGGGTAAGTTTCTCACCCATTTCAAACTGTGCCATAAGGTGGTTAGAGCACCCACAATGCTTTGGTTCTTTTAACAAAAAATCACATGCCACATGGGAAATAGACCTAGTCTATAAAAAAATACTTCCCAATGCAATTAAAAGTGGACATGGTCTAGCTTATGTGGCAATGAAAAAAAGAGACCAAGTCCACACTTGGGTCTATTTTGGACCCAAGTACAAACCCAAACACTCATCATTTGCTCTTAATTTAATTTTTCTTTTAATGAATAAAACATATTAGAGCATTTTTATTGGTTGACATGTACGCTAGACCTAGTATTTTTATTTTTGCATTGCAAAGTTTTTGAGTTTTTTTATTTGGGTTTGTCCATATCATTTAAGACCCAAGTCTAATTATATGTCACATATACAAAAAGAGACCCAAAGCATTGTGGATGCTCTTATCAGGTGGCAAATATGCCTTTTCAGTAAATTGCCTTTTTTTATTGTGAAATACAATACTTAGAACATAATAAAAAAAAAAGTTTTAATATATTAAAAATATAAAAATAAAGAAATGATATTTTTTCTTAAAAAAAAATACACATTAAAAGAAGTGATATTGAATATATGTTAGTTTTTGATTAATTTGTTGTCCCACATCGAATGTATACCAAAGATGTGTAGGATCTTATTAGTATAAATAGGTCCCTTGCCTTTGGATTACAATTGCACCTTATTCTATTCTCTCATCTCTTAGAATGAAATCCTAATTTGTGGGTTATTTACCCTAGTTGTATTTTGTTGGTGAGTTTAGTAAATTTGGCTTTGCGGTTGGCGGTGCCCGGAGACGTAGACTATTTTCGCCGAACTCCTTTATCAATTTTTGTGTTCTTTTTATTTCTCGTCTTTTATTTATTTGTGTTGGCTTATTTTCGTTTGGAGTAGTGCTTGCCATATTTGTTGGAGGGGTAATTTTGTCTGCTGCGTTTTGGTGTTCTACCCCAACAAGTGGTATCAGAGCCGAAGGTTCGCCCTAGGCTAATTCGAAGAGGCGGGCACTGCATTCGAGTTCGAGATGTCCAAGGAGGCCAAGGGCGCATCATCCTCTACATTCATTCAGGCAAGGACGGTGATGTGCTGGATTGTCTATTTCAGCAAGGCGTTGACATTGCCATTGAAGAAGAGAAGCCAACAGACATTGAAGAGAAGGACTGGAAGAATATCAACCGCTTAGCATGTGGAACAATCCGTTCATGTCTGTCGAGGGAGCAGAAGTACGCGTTTAAGAATGTAAATTCTGCTCACACTTTGTGGAAGACTTTGGAAGATAAATTTCTGAAGAAAAGCGGTCAGAAGAAGCTCCTCATGAAGAAGCGATTGTTCTGATTTGAGTACCGGCATGGCACATCGATGAACGACCACGTCACTGCATTCAATCAGTTGGTTGCAGATTTGTTGAACTTGGACGTCACATTCAATGACAAAGATTTGGCTCTAATGTTGTTATCGTCACTTCTGGATGACTTCGAGCACTTGGAGACTACACTGCTCCATGGAAAGGACGATGTATCTCTTACAGTGGTCAGTTCTGCTCTGTATAGCTACGAGTTGAGGAAGAAGAACAGACAAGAGTCGAAGAATGCAACAGCAGAAGACGAAGCGTTGATTGCAAGAGGTCGGTCGAAGAGCCAAAAGAAGAATGGACGAGGAAGATCACGTTCCAAGGCCAAGCTTGAAAAAGACGAGTGTGCTTTCTGTCATGAGAAGGGACACTAGAAGAAAGACTGTCCTAAGTTGAAGAAGAAGGGCAAATCTCCTCAAGATGCATATGTTGCCGAGGGTGGAAGTGAAGACTCAGAATTTTCACTTGTGGTTTCACCTTCATCATCTCATCCAGACGAATGGATTTTGGATTCAGGATGCACCTACCATATGTCCCCTATAAGGGAGTGGTTCTTCAATTTTCAAGAGATCAATGGAGGGGTTGTCTACATGGGTAATGATAATGCTTGTAAGACAACCGGGATAGGTTCAATCCATTTGAAGAATCGCGATGGTTCCACCAGAGTGTTGACGGATGTTCGGTATGTGTCGAGTTTGAAGAAAAACCTCATCTCATTAGGAGCCTTGGAATCCAAAGGCTTGGTAATGACTTTGCGAGATGGAGTTATGAAGGCTACATCCGGCTTGCTCGTGGTGATGAAAAGCATCAGGAGGAATAATTTGTATTACTATGAAGACGATACAGTTGTCGGGACAGCAACAGTAGCAGATTCCACCAACAAGGAGTCTGAAGCAGTCAAGTTGTGGCATATGCGGTTGGGACATGCTGGTGAAAAATCCTTGCAGACATTGACAAAACAAAGATTGTTGAAAGATGTCAAAGTGTGCAAATTAGACTTTTGTGAGCATTGTGTTCGGGGAAAGCAAAAGAGAGTGAAGGTTGGAACGACTATTCATAATACCGAAGGTGTCTTGGATTATGTTCATTCGGATGTTTGGGGACCTTCTAAGACCCCATCATTAGGCGGAAGACGCTATTTTGTCACTTTCATCGACGACTTTTCCAGACGTATTTGGGTGTACACTATGAAGACGAAGGATGAAGTGCTTGGTGTCTTCATTACATGGAAGACGCAAATTGAAAATCAGACTGGAAGGAAGATCAAGGTCCTACGAACGGACAATGGTGGATAATATACAAGTGATCCCTTTCAAGAAGTTTGCCGTAAAAATGGCATTGTTAGTCACTTCACCGTTAGACGGACACCACAACAAAATGGGGTGGCGGAGCGAATGAATCGAACATTGGTGGAGAAAGTTCGATGTATATTGTCCAATGCTGGTTTGGACAAGGAGTACTGGGCTGAAGCTGTAACATACGCGCAATACCTCATAAATCGATTGCCGTTATCTGTAAAAGATGGTAAAACACCATTGGAGGTATGGTCGGGGAAACCTGTTGCTGACTATGGATCTTTACATGTCTTTGGGTGTCCTACGTACTATCATGTGAAGGATTCAAAGTTAGATCCAAGAGCGAGAAAGGCTTTGTTCATGAGAATCACAATTGGCGTGAAGGGATATCGTCTTTTGTGTCTTGAGACGAACAAAACTGTGTTTAGCAGGGATGTTACATTTGATGAACATGGTATGATAAAGACGACGCAAACCCAACAGGTGGAGATAGATGCGATGACGAGATTACCAGCTATGATCGACGAACCAATATCAAAGGATTCGTCGGATGATGAAGTTCAGACTCAAGAATCATTAGAGTTACTCATTGCATTGAGAAAGCCCAGGCGAGAGATTCAACAACCTGCTCGATTGGCAGATATGGTGGCTTATGCACTTCCAATTGTTGATGCTGACATACCTTTCACTTTTCAAGATGCAATTCGAAGTTTAGAAAATGAGAAGTGGAAAAGAGCTATGGAGGAAAAAATGTTGTCTCTTCAGAAGAATCAAACTTGGAAGGTGACGCAACTACCAAAAGGCAAAAGGACAATAGGATGCAAGTGGGTATTTGCAAAGAAAGATGGGTTTCCTCAGAAGAATGATGTGCGCTACAAGGCAAGATTGGTGGCTAAAGGCTACGCTCAGAAGGAAGGAGTTGATTATAATGAAGTGTTTTCTCCAATTGTTAAACATTCTTCCATTAGAATTTTGTTGACCTTAGCAGCACAGTTG